TTTTTTAATTTAGATTCAGGAACGGTAGCGGCGCCGTCTGCACGACGCTAAATTCTTAAATGACGAAAATTACGAAATGCTCCATCAAAACTTCCAGCTCCTGGTTTAGGGAAGTGATGGGTTAGAAAGAAACAAAATGTCGTCTACGCTACTTTGAATCCTTTCTGCTATTTCCACTCAGTAGATAAAAATGCGTTTCTTTATTAAACGTCGTCTGAAAAAAAAAACAACTTCAATTCCCTCTTTTTTTGAAGTCGGTTAAATAATAAAGTCTTCGATATGAAATCACTGTTTATGTCCGTACAATGCTCTTTTAGTTCAGTTAAGCAACTGATGGGACCAGTATTTCCTACTGACTACTCCGAGAAGAAAAAACGAAATAAACTCTGTCACTTTCTAAGTGCAAATATGGTTAACAAAGTACATCAAAGATAATTCACTGTTACAATATCAAACTCAATATCCAATTAACTAGGTACACAATAAGAACGCGCGTCGCTTTCAGTATTCGACCGCACTGGTCGGCTGCTGCACGAGAAGTGACGAGTACGCCACTCGGCCAATGAATCCTTGACTCCGTCGAGCGCCAAGGGGGGCGCTAGCGTTCCAATTACACCCTCGATTGCGACACATTGAAATAAATCTTTAAAGATTGGTTTATTTCTTCAAATAGGTATTTATAAATCTTAAATATCCTTGCTGTCCACAATCGGTTAGCCAAATCTAGCCTGTCTGTTGACCCAGTTTAGGAGGTAATAGCCCCGCTCACAAAATGTGTTATTACACAAAATGTGTAATAACACATTTTGTGTAAAACACAGCAAGCAATCACTATTTTCCACACTATAATAGGGTCATAATGCAAAACCCTATGAACTAACAAGCATCTGAAAGATTTCATAACTACATTATTTGATACACATTTAATATGATTACACACCAACACTTTCTTGACAAAATACGTATGAAATTAAATGAAAGCTGGCGTTACGGAGGGGCCAAGTTCGCCAGAATCGCTAGTTAAGTTGTGAATTTTTTTGTACCAAAAGACAACAAATGGGCATAAATAAAACCAAGAAATAAACTTGTATTTTATTGTAAAAGTAAAGTATATTAATTGTAGGTTACATATTTCACAGGTGTCTAAATATTTAAACAGAATTTATTAATTAAAACAAAATATATAAATATACATACTTACATATTACTAATAACTTATTATTATCAGAAATGAAACAATTGATCACATAAACAACTTTTGTATAAGGCACTATCATTGTGAATAATAAATTGTCAAAGGAATACTGATGGTAAACTTTCTCAATTACCTACCAAATAGGCAATAAATACGTTTCTTAATTAAAAATTTCCTAGGTTTTAAAGTATTTCTAAAGTCATTTAGTAAATAAAGTTTTTTTGACGAATAATTTTGATTAAAAAATTAAATAATAAAGTTAAGGTTAACATTAATTCATCAGGCAAAATTAAGTATATAATATTTATAATAACATAAAATAATATCTAATCATGTATAGAGTAGAATACATAATATTTTTATTTTCTGTTTTACAATAACACGTTTTTCGTATAAAACTGTCAGAAGGTAGTAATAAAAGCAGAAATGTTTCTAAAGCTAAATAAGTGACAATAAATGACCCCTTCTTAAAGGGTCGGGTATAAAAGAGGGTCACGATTTTGACCGGAATGTATAATTGTATTTGTATGTCAATTTCTCCATGTAAATAATTAATCCTCAGTTTTAAACTCTATAGTTTAAAACCTAGTACAATTACTAAGCTATATCTTTGCTGTGCGTATAATTACTGTTTTTTGGTTACCTAAGTGGCATACGACCTCTGCTATTATTTTGAAAATTACGAACGATTATTACCTATTGTCACACTTTCATTCGAAAGCATCATCTGGGAACTACTTAATTTTTTAGTTTATCAAAATATTTAATTAAGCAGTGACTTTCGTAAAATTGTTGGTCACATGATAAGTTTAATTATAACGTACCGCGCCGTTAAGTGTAATTTTGTGAACACCGACATTCCGATAAAAACTGCAATACTGTCCAATAGATTAAGCGGTGAAAGTTACACGTATGCTTGATTTTCATTCCAGTAAATGTTCTGTGTTCCGTATCAATAAAAGTTTTTGACACCGCAACGCAGGGTTTTGCAATGGGATTTCGTGCGGTATTTAGTCACATCGCACGTGTTTTTAGGAATAGTGCCAGGACGAATGCTTAAAAAATTGTTGCACTGTTATTATAGTTTAAAAGGCACAGAAGAAAGAGAAGATTTTGGCTCATCTATTTATTTATCACGATTAACAACGCTCCTCAGCTGATATAAAAATATCCGGAACATAATCCACCATTCTCTGCACCACAACGACAGCGGCGTCTTTTCCCTATGCTGTCTCGGAGCAAACTAAAATGGCGGGCAGTCAAAGTATCAGATCGGAAGTTCTTATGTTGAATTGCGCAAATATTAGTGTCTCGCAGTTATGTGTGGAAGCCCTAATTGAGAATTTCCGTGAAATGAAAATGAGATAATCAACAAATAAAGATCGGGGTGATAATTTCCAATTTAATTATTTGGTTACATAATTTTCAATACACATTAGCTCTTTAACAATATAATATTCTTCTACCTGCACAAATCTGGTGTCTTTTACAGAAACGCTAGTAGAAGCAGTTGACCGTAGTGGACAGGTTGATGTGATCTACACGGATTTTAGCAAGGCTTTTGACAGTGTCTCGCACAGTATACTATTACATAAACTGTCGGCGTATGGAATAACAGGCAATCTATATAATTGGATTAAATCATACCTGACGAAGCGAGAATTTTTTGTTGCAGTTAATGGTTTTAGATCGCGAAAGTACGATATCACCTCAGGAGTTCCACAGGGCTCACATTTGGGCCCAATTCTTTTCAACATATTTATTAACGACATCCCTCATCACTTGCAGTACTCCGAATGCTATATGTATGCAGACGACCTCAAATTTTGTAGGTCAATTAATTCAATTAATGATACAGCATTACTTCAGAAAGATATAGATTCACTTGTTCAATGGTGCAAGCAAAATAACATGAATTTAAATATAAAGAAATGCTATCATGTAAAATATTCCCGAAATAAAAAAGAACATTATACCATCTGCTTACTGCATGAATAGTACGATTGTCCAGGAGGTAACCCAGATAAGGGATCTTGGAGTTTTGTTTGACAGCGAACTGACATTTGTGCCTCACATCGAGAACATAACCAAAAAGGCTTCTAAAATGCTAGGATTTGTTATGAGGAACGTCAAATTATTCAGGCACAGTCGTACAAAGATTCTGCTGTATAATTGCATTGTCCGTAGTATTCTGGAATATTGTGGACCTGTATGGAGACCACACTACGCCGCACACAGTTTGAGGATGGAGCGCATTCAGAAGAGATTCTTGTGGCATTTGGCATATTCATCGGGAGTGGCTAAAAAGAGAAGTTCGTATGAGGAAAGACTTTCACTCTTTGGTATGATGTCGTTGGAGAAGCGAAGGGATATTAGCGATGCAACACTCTTATTCAAAATACTCCGGAACAAAATTGACTGTCCTCGATTACTAAATAAAATATCAATTCGAGTTCCCGCCAGGTATCCTCGAGCTCCCGTGAGTCTATTATATCCCCCCCTTCGAAGAACCGTGCTGGGTGCAAATTCTGCTGTTTCGCGAATGTGCAAGTTGGTAAATAGTTGCGGGGATCTAGATGTGCTTTCAGACTCATTTGGCAAGTTCCGCAAATTATTGACTTTATATATTTTGAAGTAAGATGTAATTTGGAGTTCGATTTGTTTGTTATTTAATTTATTTTAATTTTGATTTTGATATTGATTTTAATTTTGATTTTAATTTTGATTTTGATTTTGATTTTGATTTTGATTTTGATTTTAATTTTGATTTTAATTTTAATTTTGATTTTGATTTTGATTTTAATTTTGATTTTGATTTTAATTTTAATTTTATTTTGATTTTGATTTTGATTTTGATTTTGATTTTGATTTTGATTTTGATTTTGATTTTGATTTTGATTTTGATTTTGATTTTGATTTTGATTTTGATTTTGATTTTGATTTTGATTTTGATTTTGATTTTGATTTTGATTTTGATTTTGATTTTGATTTTGATTTTGATTTTGATTTTGATTTTGATTTTGATTTTGATTTTAATTTTAATTTTGGCTTTAGTTTTATATTCTATTGCAGCGTTTTCTTTTCCTCCAATTAATTTATTGCTAATTTATTAATGTAAATTAATGCGACTTAATTTGATTTTTTAGCCAACATCTTGTATTCTAATTTTGTATCCAATTATTGATATTAATTTTTTTTTTCTTAAAGAATGCGGTGCTCGCCTGTAATCGATTGTAACATTTTACTGTTATCTTAATTAAATGTTTGTTATTTAATGTAAGAATGTATACAATTGTTGGTGGGCCAATAAAGATAAATAAAAATAAAAATAAAAAAAATATTTGCTAAATAAATTCATTTATAGTCTGGTCTTTTTGTCGGAAAAATGGAGTTACTTGGAATGGTTCCGTGAGTTTTGATAATTGGAATTTACATGGATTTGGAAGTGCTCTTTCCGCATTTCACTTTGCAATAGACATTGCCATTTTTTATTTAATTACTGTAATGGAATTTCTATTTCAATCGAGTAGATATACGCCAGCTCACCAGTTGACGTGTATCGACTCGTCTTACACAAAAGCAACGTTCATTGTAACACTGAAATAGCGTAAGTAAAAGCACAGCAATATCTATAAAATAACCAGTTTTAAATAGTCCCAGATAACTTTCTAATTAAAATTAATAAATTACTAATGATGAAAAAGGCACGTGATCCGAACGCAACTACATAAATATACCTAATGCTAACCAATCCGAACGCAACTACATAAATATACCTAATGCTAACCAATCTCTAAGTATTCCATTAAAGTGTTAGAATGCCTTAAATGATACTTTACATTTGTATTTGTGATTCTAGTTGTAGGAGTCATATCAGAAATGTGCCGGCTATATGAGCACTGTTTCGTAAGCTCATGTACAATGTACGTTACGTACAGTTCGATGCTCGTTGCTGCCGCCATGCTGCGTGAAAACCAGCAGCAGAATCGGAATCAGAGTCTCCTTCTTCACTAACCCCAATTTGGGCTCGAGGCTGAAAATAAAAAGATAACTAATCTAAATAACTTTAAAAAAAACAAATCCTATAAGTTTAGTCACATTTCATGAGAATTCGGTTGATTATAGCAGATTATAACATAGAACATTATTTGTTTTGGTCACATCTGATCACGTTATGAACTTGACATTTTAACTGTTGCTACGTTGACAAAGCGTTACAAAAAAGCTAGTATGTATTTCAAAACGTTGAGTACTATTTTTCTGTTAAGCAACAGTGCGGTCTGTGCGTCAGTGCAACTTTTAAGAGCATAATCTGAAAAGAGATTCGTTTTTAATGTCACTATTCTATAATTCAACTAAATTTTAGATGCCTAATGAAATGTTGAACAACCAGAAGTCTCATGGAGCACTTCTAAGGCATACAATCATACCTAGGTTAGAAATATATTGCATTTATTTGAATTATATAAAAAAGAACAAAGATCTTTTATTTCTCTTGGGCCCGTGGGGTCAGATCGGATAAAATTTCAATATGTTACAGACGAATACGCGTTATATCAACCTCTTAAGTCTGGGCCACTACAACAAACCCTGTATGATATGCTGTGATTACGCTCTTCGACTTCCAAGTGTCTTGTTCTCCAATTTTACTAATAGTTATGGCCGTCCTCGAAAGGATATCGCATCTAGACAAATGCAGTGTAGATCATCCCCTAAGCTAAGTAGACAAACGGTATCCTTTGGATGGCAGGTGATGAGTATAAGGGGCTGAAGATCAAGAAGCTCAGTGGCGTGTCATTGGAGAGGAAAACGCCTATGTATGTCCAGCAGTTCACGAAAATGGGCTGACGATTTTAAGTATATAGTAGTTAAGTAATATGTACTTGGTCTGGTGTGGAAGGTGTACTACGACTATGTGCTGCTCCAATCCCACGCCGCCCGCTAGCACCACGTCGCCGGACTTTGTTGTTGTTGGGAGGCGGCATTAGCTTGTCGTCCTTCTGTCAAACACATTAGCTTCAATTATCACATTTAATTCATTTTCACAGATTGTTTGAATTTCGAAATTCATAATTTGTGAAGTACACTGATTAAAATTTCTAAACGGACAACAGTAGTGTAATATGAAGGTACCTATTCCTACAAATAGAAATAAAAGCGCAATATGTACCTGTATATTGTCAGCAGAACCCCAACTTTTAAGTTGGTCACTATCGTCTGAACGTCGTTCTTCTCGAGCTGACTTAGGTACATAGGCCGAGGACCTAGTTGCCCCCACGCCTAAGAAGTTACTAAATGCTTCTGTAGTTTTCTTCACTCTCACGTTGAGAGAACCGATGCGGAGAAATCCTTCTTTTTCTGTGAAGGAGTCACTTTGTATTTAAGCGTCAATTATACGATATAAATACATACGATACAATATAAAAATAACATGACTATACAATAATATTAATACATCTAAGTATCTCACTTTGGTTCACATGAAATATGAAAAAGTTATGCGCTTATTAGTACGTAATTACACCAACAATAAATAAGAAATAGAGGTTTGAAAGAGGTCAAGCTATTTACAGTATTCTATAATAACATTTGTAATTTCATTAAAAAAATATATATTTCAACTGAATATGTATTTACGTATTTACATTTAAATACTAAGAATTAAGTACAAAATATTTTTTAAGGGAAAAATCTGCACGTAAAAACAAAAAGTGATATGCAAAAAAGATTCGCTTATTTCATTCTGGCAACATATTCCTGAATGAAATATTTTAATGAAATGAAAAAGTTTACTGCAAGTACCTTTCGATCAGCACTCGATACTTTCATAAAGACCAAATTTTGAGTGGCCCACTATATTTTCAAACAAATATAGTGTGTTAGTTACTTTTGCTTTATGTAAGTCCGACCTTTTAATTAACTGTAATTGTCATCACCATTGTTACATTATTTACTTTTTAAATATTACACTTCAACATTATTTTATTTAACTATGACTGCTGTGTTATAGGCTACGTCAACACATAAGGTAAGCTTTTAATCTGTCGGCCATCCTGCTCACAAAATTAAATTGTTATTGCCGTAAGAATAAACAAATAACCACACAATAACAACAATGATATCCGAAATGATTTATGATTAAGTCCGTGTAACATGTTAGTTCGCTATTTTATTTACAACAAATATCACACTGTTTAACTGTCTACAGATAGATTGATATTTACAGAATGCCTATAATTCACCACTCTATTACTGCATCTATTTGGTGGACTGTTAGATAAAACTAGTTATCTGACTAAATATTGGCATTTATATTAATTTGACGATTAACAAACATAATAGTGTAAGTTTCATAACTACGTATTATGCTTGAGGTTAAATAATTGTAGAAGACGCAAATTATAGATTATTTATACTTAATTTACTTATTTTCTCTAAATCCCACAGAAACACAACCACTTACGTATTTAGTATCTAATTCATAGAAAGATGATAAGATAGAGGCCGCAACCCTGAGATGTGCACGAAGAATAAACCATAATATCAGTCATGTAGGTAAATGCACACATGTTAAACAAATAGAGAGATATTATGATTTACTAGTAAGAACAAAATTTACACATTAAATAACACGCAAGTAAGCACTGTGAGGACGCAGACACGCTTTTAGTATCTTACTTGATTGTGCATTAATTGCGTTCGGAGTAACTCTTATGACCGGAGGAGAGGTAACAGTCCGGCGTAAGTCATACGTATCGGGCTCTGTAACACATTTCCTTATAGACACCATCGTTCCACGTCACTCCATTTGCTGTTTAATTAAAAGTATCAAAACACTACCCAATTTGATAGGTCTCGTTTACGATCAGAGCTAAAAATCTTATTATTACATTACAGTATTAAACAAGATTGTAATAATTAAAGTCCTTATTAACATTTAGAGGAAGGTTGCAAAGTAAGAAGATACCAATAATAATTAGTGAACGACTCCTGTATTCTACTTATTGGATTGAGTTGTAGTTTTTAATTTGTATTTGCTATGCTAGCCACAGGTTTTGATTACGGCCGACTCGCGAGTCCAGGGCCCCAAGTCTGCTAATTTACGAATGGCTCAATTGAATATCAATTGAATCTCAGTAGCAGTTTTATCTACATTTGGTATTCTGCTACTAATTTAAGACCAATGGTTTTCCAGTGACATACCATTGAACTGCTATCGGAATATTTGCTAGTCTGCTCTTCAATCGTGTTACAGTTGTAAATCGATTGTGGTCTAAATCGGTATTCTACTCTTAGTTGACGTTTGTTTGACATTTATGTCAATGGACACTCAGTGTCAATTTTGCAATTGAAGTACGATCGTAGTACGATTAGGCAACAATAGATATTTATAGTATTTTGCAAGCCACCACTTGACAAAATATATTTAAAAGATGCTGCGGTCATTGTTACGATGGCGTATTTTAGCATTAGGTAATGCGCAAGATCGCCGTCGTCACCTTTTGGCTCAGCGCCGTAAAAACCGGGCCTCGATGAGGGCAACGGTATCCGCCGTGGAAGAATTAACTAATACGGAGTTATTTATTTTTAATTTAATAGTTTTAATACATCTTAAAATAAAAATAATTTAAAACTAAAATATTTACACCTTAAAAAAATAAAATTAAAATATATCATAATGCATCAAAGAAAACATTTTTCTTATCGCTACCGTGAGATAGGGTGCAGCAGGTGTGCAAAAGACTGGCAGCATTGCCACGTTGAATGGCAATGCTTAGCCTTTGCCCAAGGTAGTAGCCAGCCCTTCGATCACCTGAAGTGTCAACCATCCTCCTTACATATATAACATATATATAACATCACGCCTTTTTATCCCCGAAGGGGTAGGCAGAGGTGCACATTTCGGCACTTAATGCCACTGTACAATGTAACACCCACTTTTCACTATTTATGTTATAAGTCCCATGTAATAGGGGGTGAGCCTATTGCCATATACCGGGCACATTTCCAGACTCCGTGCTACTACTGAGATTTTTTAAAAATCCAGTAATACTTTGCCCGACCCGGGAATCGAACCCGAGACCCCTTGCCCGGCAGTCGCACTTGCGACCACTCGGCCAACGAGGCAGTCTTCTTTACAATATCTTTGTAAAGAAGATGACCATCCTCCTTCCAATATCTTTGTAAAGAAGATGTACACTTGGACCCCACGGCCCTAAAGTTTCAACCCCAGACGGTTCGAAATCATAATTGCCAATCAGGCTATCATACTTTCGCCGTTTGAGGTTCTCGGCAGCAGCAGCGGCAGCACCGGCTCGACACGCTGAGTTTGGAAGATGGGATGGCGCCAGAGTATCAACGCAAGTGGCGTTCCATACTAAAGCCCTACCCATCTTCCAAGGGAATAATGACATACCGTCGGTTCTCTACAAGAGGAGTTCAATAGATTTTCGCAAACTTTTCTGCAGAGCGGCTCATCCCATTGTCTCTGGGAGAGTGATTTGACAGTGATTATCTGTTCAACTGAGAGTCAATTACAATTACACTACGATTCCATTACGACTCAATTGAGTTTACATTCATGTTTTTGCAGAATACCAAATTTGTTCTAATCGTAATGGAGTCGTGATTGAATCTCAATTTAATTTCAATAGCATGTGAGTTAAATAAAATTAGCAGACTTGACCCCCAGTTGTGTCCACTGGTTTGTCCGCCAAACCATCACTGGCAAAATGTTGCTACGCGCTACAAACTACTGTACTATACAAAAAAATTAAATTCAATGTTTGTGTTGGTTCCATATCTGAAAAGTTACAAATAACGCTCAGAATATAGTTCGGTAATTTGGTAGTTCTACCTGAAATGTTTTCCGGGAGTTTTGAAAATCAGCAATTTTGTAGATTTTGATGTGCTCTTTTCGATTTCCATATCGCGCCTTTGTACGTGCGTCGCTCGCGCCACCATCTTGGAATAAACACCAGTGGCCAAAACCAGTGCTTTAACAATATCTTTTTACCAGTCTAGAGTACCGACCGAGACGTTGCTAAAAAATCGACGATAAAAAACGCGCCGCTTTCTCTACTTTCCTTAAATTACTTAAGTATATTACAGAAAAGCTCTATCTAGACATAAATTGTAGAATAGGGATGTAGACACCCATGTTGCCTCTAGTTTTAGGGTTATACCTGCTTTTGTGCACAACTCAAGCAGGGTTTCTTGAAACCCTATCCTAGGGTGGCCTTGTTGGGTAACTTCAAGTATATAACCTGGTTATCACCTTGACCTGTACACCTCCATGAGGCTATTAGGATCAAGAGTAGGGTTGCCAGGGTCCACCCTTCTTGTCCTAATCCCTCCATCTATGCTTCTGGACCGTGCACACAGCGGGGGCCATTTTCCGGTAGGTCAACTATACCTTGTCTTGGCGGACAGAACTATCTTGAAATAGAAGAATGGATTCCAAAGGAAACTTTTGAGTGTAAGCAAACACGTTATCTACTCCTAATAGTCTGTCAAGTTCCTCAAATAAGGGAGTAACCCCCTCATATCTAAAGCTGGTGCACCAACTGGAGAAGTCCATCGACATAAAAACGGCCCCTCCTTCCTCTGTTGAGGATGTCTCGGATATTTTTAGGAGGTGTTTAAACAGGTCATCTTCCGTCTTCGTCATTGTTTGATGTGGGATGTACTTAAACACATGAGCACATCAAAATCTACAAAATTGCTGAATTTCAAAACTCCCGGAAAACATTCCAGGAAAACAACTCGGAACTGCGATTTAACAACTTTAGAACTCAAGAGATAACAACAAGCAACAAAATCTCTCAAAAATATTTGGATGTTCATACAAATGAGCACATCTGAATCTGCTCAAATTCATTTATCATAATTTCTATTTTTATTTCTTTATTAGTAAATTGTAATAGAATTATATTAATTACGTTTTGGAAACAGATTCTTGCCGTTTTTGCGACCTTCCTCTAATCTGCTTTAACTAGTAGATAGTAAATACCTATGTATAATATGAATAACAAAAATAAGAAAATAATGACTACAGTATTAAAAAGGAATACATTATATAATAATAGATATTAATAGGATTTAAGAAGATATGATTTGGTGATCAGCATACTTCTGTATGATCCCGGGGACAGTGATGTGTCCATGTGGACAAGGTACTGTCTCGGTTTTCTGCCTGACCAGTCACGAACATTGGGGTCTGCATCTGCAATACGAGAAATGTTTCATTAAATAAGCGTTAGAAATAATACAGAAGTAACCCAATTACTACACATTGCATGGCAGCCTTTTGCCCAGCCACCGCACCAATCGTACATTAAAAATTATTTAAGAACGTCTATAGTTTTGTGTTACAAAAAATAAAAAACAATGAAATCTTTTCATTTCAGAATGCTGAGCACGATTTATTATTTCAATGAAAACAAAAAGGTGTCTTCACCATGCAAAACACGGGGTTTTACGCCGGTTTTCTATGACATCATATTACCACGCCATCTACCTATTTTCAAGTGAATCAATGTATAACAATTATGACCTGTGACGTGGCTCGCCTGCCACCGCTAGACACACTTTGCAACTTGCATTAGTTGTATTGGTTTTAATTCGCGCAGGATTCAATAGATGGCGTTCAAAGGCAGTTGTGTATGGCGTAGTGATAATTAAGCATGAAATCTGTTAACAATACTAAACAGGAAAATTGTAATATTATGTCGTTTTTCGAACGAATACGCTATTTCAGTGGAGAATAGTAATTGCCATGGCACTAGTCCTGATGTAGCTGAACGTTTAATTGTTGTAGCTGTTTGTTTCCCAAATCCTTACTAATATTATAAATCTGAAAGTGAGTTTGTTTGTTTGTTTGTTTGTTCCACCATCACGCCGTAACTACTCAACCGATTGCTTTGAATTTTTGCAGACGTAAAGTTAGAAGTCCGGATTAAATAATAGGGTACTTTTTAACCCAAAAAAAATTGATATCCCCGAGGAAAAACAAAAGTATTGGTATAGATGGCGCTGTGTGTATTCGTATAGATGGCGCTGTATGCCATTTAAAACAATTCAACGAATTACCTACTAATTGGAAATTTCACACAATCTACACTTATTCGGTGCACTTTTCGACTCATTTATTTGCTGTTTTATATGGTAACGTTGTGTTTTTTAAGTGTTTTTCGCTTTTAAATTTTGGATCTTATCATTTTATATTGAATTGTGTATTTTATAGATTTTAGGTTGTAAAAGGTACACGAAGTTGGTGTCTATATAGTAGTTACGCTACTTGGCGATAGATGGCGCTATCTACACTTATTCGGTGCACTTTTCGAATTATTTATTTGCTGTTTTATATGGTAACGTTGTGTTTTTTAAGTATTTTTCGCTTTTAAATTTTGGTTCCTACCATTTTACATTGAATTGTGTGTTTGATAAATTTTAGGTTGTTAAAGATACACGAAATTGGTGTCTATGAAGTAGTTATGCTACTTGGCGATAGATGGCGCTATCTACAGTTATTCGGTGCACTTTCCGACTCATTTATTTGCTATTTTATATGTCATTTTAAAAACGTGGTAACGTTGTGTTTTTTAAGTATTTTTCGTTTTTAAATTTTGGTTCCTACCATTTTACATTGAATTGTGTATTTTATAGATTTTAGGTTGTTAAAGGTACACGAAATTGGTGTCTATGTAGTAGTTACGCTACTTGGCGATAGATGGAGCTGAGTGTTTATAAAATGGGGTAGCGTAGTTTTTTAAATATTTTTCGCTTTAAAATTTTGGTTCTAACCATTTTACATTAAATTGCGTATTTTATAGATTTTAGGTTGTTAAAGGTACACGAAATCAGTGGCTACAATACTCAACAATTAGCCATTATATTGTACGCTGTTGTTTCAACGCTCGATAGATGGCGTTAGGATCGAGTTAGATGGCGCTATGGTTTCGTTACCGGCGAAAGTATAGGTTCCGAGCTTCCATAGCAAACGTATTCCGGTGTACGCTTCTAGCACCCTAATTTATTAGTATTCGTTCGCTCTGTAGGTTTGAATATTCAAGTGTTGTTTTTCTAGGTAGATATTATTCTATAAAGTATTTTTTTGTCGATTTTTTTCCCTTTTTTATTGTACGTTGATTGATACAGTAGCTGTATATTAGTTAGGTTAAATTAGTGAAGTGGTTTATTTCTAATTCTAAGTAGATGTCTAAAGTAGTTAGGTTTTCGATAGGGAATTACGTCGCTTTGTTTGTCGTTTAGATTGATAAAGTTTAGTTTTTATTTTGTATTTAATTTTTTAGGTTAGTTTTAGTTAGTATTTTTTAATCTATATCTATATATATATAATTCAGGGGTGATTGACTGACTGACTGACTGACATAGTGATCTATCAACGCAGAGCCCAAACCGCTGGACAGATTGGGCTAAAATTTGGCATACAGATAGATGTTATGACGTAGGCATCCGCTAAGAAAGGATTTTGATAATTTCCACCCCCAAGGGGGTAAAAAAGGGGATGAAAGTTTGTATGAAACTTTGTCAGTTTTTAACCGATCGGGTTGAAATTTGGCATGCAGATAGATGTTATGACGTAAGCATCCACTGTGAAAGGATTTTGATAATTTCCACCCCCAAGGGGGTAAAATAGGGGATGAAAGTTTGTATGAGACTTTGTCAGTTTTAAACTGATCGGGTTGAAATTTGGCATACAGATAGATGTTATGACGTCAGCATCCGTTTTGAAAGGATTTTAATAATTTCCACCCCCAAGGGGGTAAAATAGGGGATGAAAGTTTGTATGATACTTTGCCAGTTTTAAATTGATCGGGCTGAAACTTTGCATGCATAAAGTTACTATGACATAGGTATCTCTTTAGAAAGGATTTTGATAAATTCCACACCTAAGGGGATAAAATAGGGAATGAGAGTTTGTATAAATCGTCTTAGCCATTGAATTTAGATTCATTGAATCTTTTTGAATTACATTCGGTGAACGATGATTTGGGACCTAGGTAACGTTTGATAGTTTCTATCACAGATGTCCCACGGGAACGAGAACTATGCGTCAATGCCCCAGGACTCTCTAACTCTTAACCACTGAACTTATTTTAGAGAGATTCGGTACAACAATAGCCGATAGAATAGTTTTTATTATTCAAACCTTACGTGATCGGGCACTATACTGGTAAGATCCCTGCGGGATTATTTATTTATTGAAACTACAATAAATCATTTCAAAATAGGTAAATCTTACTTGGGCACTGAATTGATTCTGATTAATTCTGTCAGAAGTCATTAATCTACGCGGACGAAGTCGCGGGCAACAGCTAGTGTAAAATAAATTAAAAACGGTATTCTAGACACTAGACAGTGTGACACCTATGTCTTCTCTCCTTCCCCCTCTAACTTATTCATAAAGAGTGAAAAAATCTGAATAAAACATATTATGTCACAAAGTAAATTGATTTACAACAAAAATAGTCATAGTTCTTTAAAAAACATATTTTACAACTTAATGAGTATAAACGTATTTATTAACGTACGTTATGACCCTGAAATGTAACCACTGAAAGTAGGAAGACCAAATTGATTCATCTGCGGAGATGCCGTATTTTGAATATCTTATCTTATACTATTATACATATGATATTAAGCTGAATAGGTAGTTTGTTTTTTTGTTTGAATGCGCTAATCTCTGGAACCACTAGTTCGATTTGAAAACTTTTTTGTGTTGGATAAGCCATATATTGAGGAAGGCTATAGGCGATAAAACATCACGCTACGACCAATAGAGGCCGACCAGAGCTAGTGAATCCGCGCCGGAGTACCTGGTTTCGAATATGTATCAAAACATTTTCCCGTTCTTTTTTCTTTCGAAACGTTGAAAACTCTTGCATGCCACTTATATGACACCAGATACCTACATAAACGAACTGCACTTTAAACTACTTTTTATGAACTAATTTTTGAATGATAGATGTTTTTAACACTATGTAATTGCATAACTAAGTTTCAATGGCATTATTGACATCACCTAAAATTTTTACACTGCCATCAGAAAATGAGCATTCACTTACCATATACTTCAACTAACAGACGGTACACGTTCTCGTGACGAAACTGCATGGCGATGTGCAGAGGTGTGTATCCCTGTAACGTAGGTCATTCGCAAATTATTACCATTATAACAATCACATACATATATCTACAAAGGTCATTTATAAAAATTAATGTATGTAGGTAAATGCATACAAGGGTACACATTGCATTTAAAGCAACGAAGTTTAATAAATTCAGACATCGCTAATATAATAATAAACGGTCATCTTTTAATACACGTTATTATAACATGTCTCAAACAGTGCACCTTTACGATAGTATCAGATATGAAATATTTGAACAAGAGATGGGGTGCGCGGGGCACACAAATCGCGCTTAAACAGAGTTGTAAAGGCTCACATCTGCTCCCAGTTCCTCATTCGTTGCCTCCGTTTGCGAATCTAATACTTATATCCAATATTATCTGAGATGGATATTAAAATCAGTTTGATATTGCTGAATATATAGCAACGTCAGCTGTAGCGTAAACTAAACTAAAGTAACACAACGAATTTTAGGTTCTATCTAAAACTTTGATTTGATAACATCTTATCATAACTTTCACTCACTCAACTTTAGGTAAATTAATTGTCTAAAGTTCAAGAAAATGTCTATAAAACGAAGTATTAAAACAAATCTCAATGAAATGTCAACGAATTAAAGTTATAGGGAAAATAAGTATGGGTTCCTATTCTAAAGACATGTAAGTACTTACATAAAAAGACTATGAGTAGTTTTATGAGGAAAAGAGAAACATTAAAACCTTGAGTGGTGCACAGATAAATTTACCAGCGCTTCCCTTGAATCCACAAGTAGTCCAGTAATAAAATTCTCGGCGGACTTACCCCATTCTACTTCCGTTGCCGACGATGCCGAACAGCACATGAAAAAGATTGTAATGACATTTTAACGATACTGTAAAGCAGGCTAAATAAGTAGCAGTAGCAGTAAGTAAATTTGATTGGACATTAAAGCTTCTACGTAACAGTAAAATTAGCAATTACTCTTACCGCGGATGTACGTAAACACATAATTAAGTCGACCGTTTAAACTCGATTGGAATCGAATACAATAGTTATAGTCAGTTGACTAGTGTTGTATGTTGGGGTCAAGATTTATCTTATTTTTATTTGTTTAAACGTAGATTTAGTAAATCGAATACTCACTGTAAATTGTGAATACTCACTATGAATAGCACTGTAAATTTGCCAATTGTTTAAATAAGCAGTTCAACCATTAGCCTAACCTATTTACTAAACAACACCGTTCAACTAGCTTCCTGAATCATATTCAGCCGTATCGTATTCAGTTACAACATTTGATAACAAAAACGGTAGGGCATGAGAAAATGTATTATTTACTTAATATCGGAACCTTGGAAAATACAGCCGGCTAGCTAGTTTTAACAGACTATCAAGGTAATAACATATTTTTTAAAATAAAACTTCTTTTACAAGTGTGTATGTTTTTGTATTAATCAATGAAATATGTATAGTTAGGTAATTATTACTCACCGATCGTTCGTTGACTACTTGCCGGGTTACACCACCCAGTAATTTCACTAAATTTTCATCACCACGTTTACAAGCCCAGTGCATTGCGGTCTGAAAATGTGATAAGTTTCTAAACTTATATCTATAATTAATAATAAGTTGCTCAATGGGTAACTCTTTAAGCTAATAACACAATGATTTTGAACCCGTTACTAAAATGATGAAGAAAAAAATCTGATCTAAACACTAAGACAAAAACTCGATTCTATCACGAGAAGAGTTTAGTAGGTTGAGAAACAAATTACTTGATTGTCAGCATTTTATTTTTATATATGTAAAACACTTTGATGGACAATATAATGCCGAAATTATAGCTCTTTATAATCGGAACGCATTAGGATGATTTGCATTCAGATTAAAGATTATATTTTGGTGAAGGTAGGTGTTATTAGCATAGTTATAGGAATTAGCTTGCTATCATCGTTAGTCATTTTAATATTTAAAATGTTACAGTAAGTGCAGTATAATTTTACGGAACCGTATTTTAGATGGAGGTAGCTTTAACTGTAGGTTAGTTGGTAATTTAAGCATGTTTTACTCGTTGTTTAGTTTAGTTTAAATTCCGACTACTATCTAATCCCATAATGAAACTTCATAAGGTTGACTTAGCAAAATGGTGGGTAAGAGAATAAGTTCATAGATAATTTTCTACTATTTTGAGTTAAATATTGGCGTTGTAATTAATACCTTTACAAGATTGGGTAACAAGCATACCGATAAGACAGGTAAAACTTATTTAAGACTTTAAAATAAATTAATGGACTTTTGAACACACTACTGCGGTTTTTTGAAACGAAACTGAATAGCCGTACTTGCTGTTTTATCCCGCACCCGTTTTTCGATACAATTAAATGTTATGCAGTTGAAAACCGCCGTGGTTTCACCGAAACATGGTTTCACGAAGAAAAGTATACGAAACATGTGTGTTTTGCTATATCGCTAGTCGCTATGGATCCCCGAAAAGAGCGTTAATTAATAACGTTGTTCTTGGTTTCATCAGTGAGGTGAAGTGATCGAGTCCGACTGCGAAGCGTCCCGCGGGACCCTCTATTGTTAGTGTATGAAGGAGCTCAGTTTAGTAATTACTCCGACAGTTTAAATGTTCTAACCACAATTATTGCTTTAATTTTTACATTGAGGTTTCATAATTTAATAAGTATTTAAGTATTGACTGAAAATTAATAGTCACTCAAATTATACGTACGATCTTTATTGTATTTATTTAGCCCCAAAAATATTAAACTATTAAATCCATATTAGTACTATTTCAATACCAAAGATAAGTCCATATTGAAACGGAAAAACAGCAATGAATACAGATTCAATACTAATTCTATTGACCCGTGCTCTAGTCGCGAAGCCCATAAAACCTGTCACCTTAGGTGTGCCACGGTTTTCAGTCAGCAGTTCGGTCTTGGGAATATATATTACTTTATCCGAGCTAAGGGTACGAGTTACGTACCAATCGGCGTATGTACAAGATGTAGGCGTGATCGTCGCTGATTCAGTGGGGTAGTTAGTGGCGGGCGGTCCTAGGTTCGACGTCGCCCGGAGAAATATTGGCCCCAGGGGAAGCGCTGTTAATTTGCAGCGCACATTGGGCACAGGCACGATTTCCAACGTATCTATCTACCTACGCAGTTAGAGTTGACTGCATCAATATTGGTGGAGGCAATTTTGTTCTACACAAGTATTTATTTCACTCCGTGAGCTTTGAGTTTGTGCTAAAATATAAACCGAATCCCTATCGTAAAAACTTGTTTGTTTGAATTAGTAATTAGTATTAAGTAAAAAGAATGTATTTTTAACACAATAGATGATGAAAACACAACCTAAGCACATCATTCTGCACTTTTACCCAACCTCGGGGTGCGGAACGCCTCTTGCCGGAGGTCGTACGCGAGGATCGTGCGGTCCATGGCCCTCTACGGTGCCCCTCAATGGATAAATCTAATACGACGGCAAGCTCGGACGCTGCTCACGTCTCAGAGGGTTATGGCCATTTGGATGATCCGTGGATATCGCATGATCTCCTTTCCTTTCTCTTCTATCGTGGAATCTGGAGACGAAGGTGCTCTCACACGTGTTCAGTTTCCGCGCTGAACCACGTCACCGGGGCGAAACTCCGCTGCTGCGCCAGTTAAGTACGTGGCTGGATGAGCTCTGGCACGATCTCATGACGGAACGACGGCAACGACTGACGCAGGCAGTTTTTCCAGCCTTTGGTGAGGCGAGAGGGAGTGGTCAATTAGATAATTTTCCTCTCTTAAAACCACATCATTCTACATGAACTACAATAACTGATGTATGTTCGTTATACGTTAATGAAAATTTTTAGTCTTAATCGGTATGCTTTTATGATCTGATTCAAGATTTTGATAAGTTGCTCTATCTGTTTGTAGTTTTTGCCTATCTCTCGATACTCTTCGAATTCATCCCAAATTTAATATTATTAAAGGACAATATACTTACATACTTCAAAAGCACGCGTTCAGATCATGGCCGTCGACAAGTATCCGAGGGTGACATGAAATAAGAACAAATTTAATTAATTCTACGTAATGGTACATGATATTATAGGGATCTTTGAATATCCTTAAAATAAAAATCTCATTAATGCGACGTTTCCGGGTCAGCGGACTACAGAATTTACAAATTTATTGTCGGCTAACCTAATAAATTTAAAACAGGATTACGTGGTTCGAGCACAAAAGCAAAGCTTTACAATTTGCCCGATATAAATCTCTTGTCTATGTCAAATGAGAGACGTATCATTTAAAACAAAACGACTTGAAAAGCAAGGTTCGGTCCCAAACATTTCGTTTTTTATATTTGCACGTTTGACGTGATCGACGAAACATTGGTAATAATACATTACTCGGACAATAAGAACACTTTACAAAAATAAATATACTTTTTCAAAACAGTGACGATATTGCTTAGACTACAATAGTGGCACCGATATTCGACAATGATTATTTCACTTACGTGTGATAACAGTTTGGTGAGTTATAAGCACACCCGAGGACCCACATTACCAAATAACAGGAAACCAGTTCTTAAACCAATAAAGTTATTCAACTTTCGTAGGTAGGTAGGTAGGCAGGTACCTACATTTAGAAGTGTAAATTATTGTAGACCATTATTCTAGTCGCTTAAAAAGCAATGTTATGTTTTGTGACCAGAACAAAAAAATCTACCTTCCATAGTGTTAACTTGCTTTAGTATACTGAATGGTATATTTCTATTTAATATTTTTTACTCCACAAATTATAGTACTTTACATATACAATTGTCAACTGATATAGATATGTACTTACACTATTCTACAAATAATACTAAAAGAACGAATTTCTCATATATTGAATACAATTATTACTCGAGTGACAATACATGTATGTTTAGGATTGTTTTGCCCAAGTGGCTATATCCACGAAAGGCGAGGACATGGCTCATGTCCCCGTGTGCCGACCAACATCCGCTACCACGTCATATTGATTGCGTTTGCATGTACATCAATTAGGATCCGCGGAACGATGCGTCTTCCACGCCACTAATTATCATCTTGTCACTGTGTAATTATGCATATAGGTTGACAGCGACGTTGATATACGTGTCGAAGTCAGGCTTACTATTAATCTCGTATCTAAGATGTCTATGTCAGTACAATGACTGATATTTTTGACCTATACATGACTAATTCAGAAACTTTTGTAATAAAATCAGTATTTAACATAAATGTATTATTATACTTGTATATTTTATATCATGGTAATTACGGATATAACGAAATATTTGCAAAACCAGTAAACCAGAACGATTAAATGTGGTGAGGTGGGTAGTCAGTCAGGTAACCTAATAAATACTAGTATCTATTAAAGTAAAACATACTTACACCCTGTGTGATGGTCACCATCCATGTTGAGATAACCGGAAAAGTAAAAACAAATTAAAACATATTCTGTACAAAAAGAAAATTCTGAAGTGAAGGATTTTCTCTCTTTAGTAACAGAGAGAATTTTCTGTTATGAAGCCTCATTGTGACTTTTTTACCAGGTTGGTCTGACTTAGGTTTTATTTGTTAAACAGTTGAGACAAATTGTTACGCCGTATTACTTACCGTAAAAGGATCCTGAAACAAAAGAAACTTACATTAATATACTCTCTTATACACGTAACGTAACGTAGTAACCATTGGGCTTCTTTGGACCCTTCAGATTCGATGATACTGCATTATCTGTTTAGGGACAATTTGTCTCTCTTTTCGAACTTCCTAGGAAATTAAGAAGTTTCTACCTAGATATCCTAGGCAATACCTAAACTTACGGTTTTTGTTATTTTCCGGTGTCATAGATATGTCTAAGTTGAGCAATGTTCAAGTGAGACTTTGACAACATACAAAAAACCAACAGTAAAGCATAGATGTTATCCATAACTACAGAACCTCTCTTTTGTAGACATGTAACATAAACACGATACTCAAAATGTATATTGTTTTCATACATGCTCGTTAATATATGTAATTCAAAAATGTATTCACGAGTAATTGCGTCTGAGTACGTATGTCAGAAGGTATTAACGCCGAACGAAAGAAATCACGGGTTGAATTTTGTAAAATTACTAAAATTGCATTAGAGGATATCAGAAGGTGGACGTATATTACAGAACGAGTAGACGTTGCATATAATAGACGGTATCACATAATATGTACGTCGATGTTATTACTGGTTAGTTTACTATGAGTTCAGTTTATTAGTTAACAGTAAGACCCGATTAGCTTTGCAGGATTTGCCCTCAACAGTTTTCTATCGACAGTTAAAGGCATAATGGTTCACAAACGCAAAGGTATACACACACACGTTAAAGTCAGTTGATACGATATTTTCATCGAAAACGACCGAGTTTTTTGTAGTTTTGAAAAAATAAGACGGCCCTGCACATGGTTATGGTCAGCACCGTACTTGTGATACCCAGCTATGTCAAACAGTTTCTCTATTTTGTTTAGTCTAAATAATAATAAGATAATACATGATACTTAGATAAAACATGATTTAGGAGCGGAGATTTGCTTAACTTTTACATAATGTTCAACAAAATGATGCTATCGAGCATCTTGATTCGATCTTTTCTAATAAAGAGATCTTTGGGTTGGATGATTTGAATGACAAAGAACATGATATAACAACAAAAACATTAGCCATATAATTTGTGCCGAGAAAATTCTGAATTTACGATATCACTAACTAGTTACAACGCTAATTCTGAAATACAAAGTGCAGCAATAAATCATCATATAATAAACAGAACATGTTGAGAAACATGGTAAGAGAGACAATCTCATCCGCGGAAATTGGAAATACATAGAAGACTCCATGATATTCTCAATTTAATCAAAAAGTTCTATAATTTTCTGCGCTGTGGCTGTGGCTCTCCGCAGCCTAAATTCAATCAAAAAACGATCAACGAACTCAGCAACAACTTCCCAATGAATACACTTGCAGCATTTAACAACTTCTCCACTAATTGCAATTTACTGGAAACTTTATTAAACGTTTTATGCTGAATGAAATGAAAGGTAAGATCCAACCGAAATGATCTTTTAGAAATGATGAAGAAGCGCACGAAAGAGTCAAAACTATGAAAATATCAATTCCAGGCTATGACATCAGATTCTATCACCGCAATAAAATGACTGGAGTCGCACTGTTTAGTTCACAGTACAACAATCATTAGGACTTTAAGTATAGCAAAAGAACTCAAAAAGATGATTCAAGAGTAGAAGTCTTTTGATTAAAAGCAATTGCTTCTATCTTACGCAATGAGCATGAGCGGAGGATCTATTCGATCATTATATGTATGTCTCCTTATACCCAAGATCCTCTTACCCAATCAATAAGAAACCTCGCAAGTTTTGGATGCGCCTTACTTATGTTTGATACACACGCCTTATTTCCGTATATTTTTACAAACTTTCGCATTTATAATATTAGTAGGATAAATAGGACAGGATATGACATTATTTCTTAAACAACAAATTTTGTAAATGGTTTCAGGATTATGTTTAAATATCATATTTAAAAAAAAGAATAAGGTAGAACAAAAGTACAAGCTGATTGAAGTAGGTACAAATAATGTACTGAATCAGCAAGGTAATTGTAACTGTTTTATGTCAACAAAACACTAATATTATTAAAAGTGTTTTCAATTCGCTCCCACGATACTGATCGGTATATGAGAAAAAGTATTAAAGTTTCGGCGTAGTACTCATAATGTACGCTTCGGACGCTCAGTGATCGCCGAATTACCTACTAAACTGTAAAAAACGTAGATAAAAGGTGGGGCTGTGCATATTCCCATGATCTGAAGACGGTCAGACGGCGTTTTAATACACCCATAATCGTCGATCGATGGTGGATCATATGAAATATGTAATACCGCTAATAGGTCTCGGTGGGCAGCTTCCTCAGCGGTCGCTCGACCAATTTTGCCGTTGGTAATAACCTTAATATCCCATCAGTGCTATACCCCATGCGTGTACAAAGATGAGGCCAGGTAATGACTGTGCGACCGACGCGAGTACCCGCCCTTGCGACCGATAATTCAACTTTATTGAATAAATCTGTTTGATTACCGTTTTGCACGCCACGTTTTGTCATTTTATTGCGATTTTATTGAAATAATACAAATACAATCAATGTCAGTACTGTACGGTTTGTGTAGAAATACCTATTTTAAACGGTTATATTTAGCTTCATCCGTTTGTTTGTTTTAATTGGAAATTTATCCCTTTCCTGACACGATAGATCGATCTAATACTTAGTACAGAATTATTAATCTTGATGACCATATAGTTTATGATAATAGATCTTGCATAATATTGATATTATCAAACGACAGGGCTTGATTGGCGGAATAAAGCGCATTATAGCCGTTTAACATAAAAAACTATTTTTAAGTATTGTTTGTTTTCCAAATTCAAATAATACAAAATATGATCGTACCTCGCGTATTTCAAAATACTAATAGATCCTCTACCTAAGAATAAAATTTCCAAGAGTTCACGTTCAGAGATTTTATTCCAAGAGTTTGCATATTGCAATGTTTATAAAACTGCATTTAGTCAATAGAGAATTAATGTGTTGTTACTTTTCAGGTAATTTTGTATGAACGTAAACTCGTCAAAACTCACTCTCACCCTGTTTTTAGGAATTTATCAAAAAGTATTAACTGGTAAAAATGAAATACCTTTATTTTATAACAGGCGGAACAACGAACAAAACAATAAAATCTTTAATCAAGATATTGACATTATATCTGTAAAGAACGCCCGAGGAGTGTGCAGCTTGGTCTCTGAACGGCGAGTCCTGATTACCAAGATCGGGCGAGACGAGTCACTGCCAGCAATAGTTAAAGATAGCTAAAATTGGAGGAAAGTGACCTCCTTTTGTGAGACGCTAATGCCCCAATAGGAGGCTGCTGAGATTTCGAGAGGGCCGATCTTCCTCCTCGATCTGAGGGACCATGGATATAGGTATAGAGTGGGGACTCTACGTGCCTACCTAGTGACCACAGGTAAGACGGTGGAATAGTGGTCACGCGTGCCGCCGTGCACAGCGATATGCAAGACACGTCTCCCTAGGAATGTGCATTACAGGAATGTCTATTACAGGACTCGGTGCCTCTTGGTATTGAGGGTAGCCACCGGGGTGGTTTTAATAAGGTAAAAATCGCACATTCCCTAGTCTTTTATCCCCTAAAAGCTAGGCGCCTTTTGAAGGTGACAGGAGTATGTCATCAGAAAAAACAATGAAGCTTTTGTTGAAAACTTAGATTGGCCAGTTTTAGGTCAGCTGAGTTTGTTTACTGGAGATCCAGACTTCTCTTGTTGTAACAAATGTATATAGAAAAACGGTCCTACGATAATATCCAATTGTAATGTAATGGTACTTGGAATCACTCAATAAAAAACATCAGTAATCTATATATATAAAAGAAAGTCGTGTTAGTTACACCACTTATAACTCAAGAATGGCAGAATAGATTTGGCTGAAAATTGGTAGGGAGGTAGCTTAGAGCCAGGAGACCGACATAGGATATTTTTTAACCAATTTTTTTTTACTTTTTTCCGAAAATCACGAACGGGGACGGGAAAAAATGGGATGGTACGCGTACGAAGTCGCGGGCAGAAGCTAGTTAATTATATTATTAGGTAACTTCTAAGCACTTAACAATAGGTAAGTTGTTGAGAGTAATTTACAAGAAATTTGTGTCGACATCATAAACGATGAGCCCAAACTATAATATAAGCATGGTGAATGGGGATTTCTAAATTAAGAGGCTATTTATTATCATAAGCATAGCAGACGCAGTGACGCAAACATTCGTCGACAGTTATTAAGCGCTAGAACACTGCATCTGGATGGAGGGCGCGCGACGCCACAGTTGGCGACGATATTGTCATCTCTCTTGCTAGCGGCATCAGTTGCACTCACATGTCACAGCTAATACATAAATCAAACCAGACAAATTGTACCTCATTATTTGTTTTATGAATACGTAAGTTTCATTCCGCTTATATCTTAATTAGAGTCGCAAAAAGAAAACAATTAAAAAGCTTTTGAGGCTCTTGCTTTGAATTACATATTAATATTTACACACTTTACACGTACATGTATGGTAAAAGAAAACTTAATTAATAACCATATAAAATCTTTTGTCTTAAAACCTGATAACTTTAAGCAACTCTGAATTGTAGAAGAACGTATTTCGCCGTAGCAGTCCACAGCTGGACTATGGGTCTCTTCAACACTACGCTTGGCAGGCAGGTTGTAGATTGTAGTTAAATAGTTCAGAATTAAGAGTGGACTGCTACCGGTTTCTTTTAAATGCAAAACGACATAAAATTAAAGATGACTACTCTGCTGTCACCACACGGCACACCTAAATGCCTTTTAAACTGTTAAACACCGCGAGGACACCGGTGACCGCAACCTATTGTTCTTTAATTGTGTCTATAATGACGTTACTCAAAGTGTTAATGTTCAAAATTGATATTATTTGACCAAAATGACTTATTTGAACCAATTCATTAGGTACTATCCGAGTTAAAACACAGCAAAAACCGTTTAAAAT